GTTTTAATGGTGTACCAGTTTAACGTTGAATATTATTTATGATTTTTGCTATAGGTATAAGGACATAAAAAAGTAATACAAATACATCTTTCCAGAACACATGTATGAAGTCAGTACATCTCTCCAGAACACATTGTAAACATTTTCTTCATGTAAATGAAATCCCTGGTATTAGTTTTTTAAACAGTTTCCGATAAACCTGTTTTATTAATATTCCACGTTAAAAAACCTGAAAAAGATTTCCTGTCCGGCTGTCCTTAAGTTGTAATCATCAGACTAAAAATCTGATAACGTCGGATTAGCACCAAACTAGTAGCAGATAAACAGACGACTAACTAGTTAACATCAGATTAGCAGACTACAATCAGATCTATACCAGGTTAATACTATGATATCGTCAGACACACCAAACTAAAAACAAATTACAATCTGGTTAGTATAAGATAGCATCTGGCACATCAGACTAACAACAAACTAATATCTTGTTAATATTAGGATATCATCAGGCACACCAGACTAACAACAAACTAATATCTTGTTAATATTAGGATATCATCAGGCACACCAGACTAACAACAAACTAATATCTTGTTAATATTAGGATATCATCAGGCACACCAGACTAACAACAAACTAATATTTTATTAATATTAGGATAGCATTAGACACACCAGAATAACAACAGACTAATATCAGATTATTATCAGTTTATAAACAGGCTAACAACATGCTAGCGTAAAATAACAGAGCCAAAAGGCTAAAATCAGACTAACAACAAGGTAATATAAAACTAACAACAAACTAACATAATGCTACCTACAAGCATACGGCAGACTAAAATATTACTGACAGAACTCTAACCTTCAGCTATCAATAGATTAATATCAAAACACTAACAAGTTGACACCGCATACTAATATTAGGCCAATGATAAAACAAACTGACATTGATTTGACAGCAGATTATAATAATTATGATAATAAACGTTTAATGTTAAGTTACTAACAGAATAGCATGCCAAAATCTAGCAATCAGCAAATAATTAACAGCAAGTTAACTATAAAATAATATCAAGTTAATGGAGGACCCAATAAGATTAAGAACATACTTAAATCAGGCTTGCAACAACAATGAAATATCAGAATGTTATCAAACTAACAACAAGAACAGACATTAATATTTAGAATAGCAATAAGATAACATCAGAACAACAATAGTTCAGTATGACGGTAACAGCAAGCTAAAAGAAACTACAATGCAGTTAACGATAAATTAATATTAGAATAACAATAGTCTAACATCACGGTAACACCAAGCTAAGAAGAAATAGACTACCATGAAGCTAACAAAAAGTTAAAACCAGAATAACAACAACCCAGTGAGGTAATATGAGAATATAATCAAATTAACATGAAGAAAAAAA